CGCGGATCAGAGTGTCCGTGCGCGGCGCAAGGGGGCAACGCGGTTCCCAGGCTGGTCCGCCCCCCACGCCAGCCTCCCCTTACATTGGCCCCCGGGCCCCCAGAGTCTCACGGCCCGGGCCGCAGCCCAGCTAACTCCCGTCGAACCCCAAAGGGCCCGCGCTAGGGACGGTGGCCTAGAGGGGTCTCAGACTATTACCGCTGCTGGGACTCCGGTTCCAGTTGGTTCTCAAGCTCCTGCCTCCCTCCTTCCCTCTGCTGTGGGCCGCCACCACCACCGCTTCTACTTCCGGCCCCGCCGCGGAAGCAGAGGGGAGCCAGTTCCGTCGCTTACCGGATGTGGCGTCATACACACTCTCCACCCCCACCCACCCCCGCCGCGCCCTTAACCCCACCTCTCAAGTCAAGAATGGACAGGGCCTGAAGGAACCGGATGTTGGCAACATAGGGGCCCAAGGTGTGGTGTGCTTATTTGGTAGGCAACTGACAGCCCCTTCCAGTTTCAGATGGAGAAACGAGTTGAAGCTGATCTTGTAACTTAATTTTACACATTTCGACCTGTTTTAGTCGGACTCCCCCATTAGCATCCTTCATGGGATTTTGTTCTCTGCATCCCTATTGCTTAGAACAATGCCTATCTCCTAGTGGTGGTAGTGATGGTTATGTGTCGTGGAGTCGAAACGGACTTATATGTTCAATGGATAAAAGAATCGCAGACCAAGTTTCTCTCCCTAGAGAAATCTTTGCCTTGGAGTATTTCCAAAGTTAAGAGTCCACCTTTCTCACGCGACTATACCTCAGGCAGCATGACCTCCCTGATTCCAAAGTGGTCCACTAGATACACCTTAGTTGTCTCCTGGTTGGTTATGTGCCGTGGAGTTGTTTCCGACTCATAGCGACCCTGTACAGGATTTCTGAGGCTGTAAATCTTTATAGGAGCAGAAAGCCTCATCTTTTTCCCATGGAACAGCTGGTAGTTTCGAGCTGCTGACCTTGCGGTTCACAGCCGGATTCGCAACTACTATGCTACCAGAATTCCTTAAATTGTCTTCTATTGGACAGTAATTCAGAGATTAAGTAATTTGTAAATCTTTACATAGACTGCCTCATCTTTTTCCAGCGGAGTAACTGGTGGATTCGAATGAACCGTCAAGCAGTCCAATGCTTAACCCATTGCCGCATCAAGGTGGTTGCATAGTTAAGAATTTGCGATTTGAATCAAGGTTGAAATTTGAATCCAGGAAAACCATGTTAATTCTAATTCCTCCTTCTATCACTTGCACCTTCTGGAATTTTGTCATTATAAAATCTAGGATGGCTAGGCTTCGTCTCTCATACTTTGGACACATTGTCCAGAGAGAACAGTCGCTGGAGAAGGATGTCATGCTGGGTAAGGTGGAGGGTCAGAGAAAAAGAGGAAGACCCCAAACGAGATGGATCAGCCAGGTG